CCTGCTGACAGGTGCCAGGCAGGTGGCACGGCGATTTGACAAAATTATACTGACTTGAACGTTAAACTTACGTTATTATTGTTCTCGCCGTTTGTTGGTTTTGTTCACTCGAGGAGTCTCATGTATCAGGATCATGAACTTTCCGGGCAGGAGCACCCCGTGACTGAGGCTTTTGCATTGTACTATGCTGTGAAGTACAGCGGGGTTTTGAGAGTGGGACCTCCGAGCTGTTACACGATTGACTGTTATAACTGAGAACAGTATTAATTTAGTGATAAGTGGTAGTATTTTTGAGACATCAATCATTTTTCTAAAGCTATGAGCTGTTACTTAACTCTCTTTTTTAAACCCTAGCCTGCTGAAGTCGACAGGATCTTTGCCACTAACGTTGTTTTGTTTTGGATGGAAACTCTTGAGGGCGTGTACTGTTCCTGTGCAAGCAAAAGCCGCAGCGCATGCTTGTGCAGAGTGACTCCAGAGTCCATCTTAATGATGTCTACCATCGAATTTCTGCTAGTATTTAATCTGTTTGTAGAACATGACACAAGGTATTACCTGTATTCCTACAATGCTAGAATTTTAAGTTTTATGGTGCGTACTTGATCATTTACGTGCCATTAATTTGTGAAACAGAACACAAAGAAACAAGGAATCCCTCATGTTAAGATGAAAGAAAACCAGTATATTTTTGTGTTGTACATAATATTTTTTCTGGTCATGTTTTATTTTCAGTTGAACTTGAATTTTCTATTCAAGTCACTGTAGTTAATGGATTAATGCAGTGAGTTCCATACAGCAAGGCAGAGTGTCCGGGCTCTCTCTAAACTGACTTCAGGGAGCTGAGCCTCTCTGGAAGGCTGGTAGTCAGCAGCACAAGAAAATGGTGTGTCTGCTGAATATAACAGACCTGTTTGAATTCTGCGTCACTAACCTTTAGCTCTTTCACCTATGAAAAAAATGTGTCAGCAGATAAAACACAGAAAGATCTGCCTGATGTGTAGTTGTTTGGGATTTTTGTGTATGTGCTTTTTCTTACTTATTTTCAGTCTACTACGCACATGATAAACTGGATGATTTCATCAGTACTATTAACAGCCATCTTCAGCCTTTGTTTATGCAGATCCGGAAAGGAATGTCGGAAGATGATGGGAGAGCACATTATGCTTTGGTAAGTCCGTGACGTGCTGCCATCGCGTGGTTTGTGCGGGGCTGTCCCACTGAAGCGACCTGTAGAGCAGGGAAGTGGGAGGATAAACTGCCAACGGCCGTGGCGCCTGGAAACGGAACGTGGCAGCAAGGACTCAGCAGTGTCTGGTTTCATTCGCGTAAACATTGCTCAAGTGCCGAAGTGAGATTTCTTTTTCACAGGAGACTTTCTTTCTTAAGAGGAATTTTTAAGCTAGAAGACACAGAGCGCCCTCCAACTTTAGTTTTCTTTTTCGCTTACTCAGAAATGGACCTAGCATCAAAGGGTTACAAAGGAATGGCCTATAAAAGTTTCCCTAGGTGCTCTGCAATGTGCAAGTCAAAGAGGAAAGGCTATACTGTAATTTCAAAAGACCATACAGGAGTTATTCTGACACGAGCTGCTGCTTTTAACCTTTCTGGGTCATTTTGCCAGTTAGGTTGAGCTAATAATAAATAGCAGTAGCACGTGCAATTAAGAATATGAAATATCAGTAACTGTTCTTCTTGGTGAAACAAAAATGTGTCTTATAACAGTTACTGCTACCGTCCAGCACGGTATCCCGGTGTAACGTATTAGTTCTACTATCTAGAACTAATATTCTCTATTAGTGCTATAGGGGGGAGATTGGGTTGTTTAAGAGCTTGGACTGGGTAGAGACAGCTGCGGACATGTGGCTGGAAGATCAGGGGTTGTAAACAACAGACTTGTGTACCACTGAGTGTCATCATTAAGGAACAGCCTCCTTCGTGCCATTTAAAGAAATGATGTTTCTGTTAATTGTAAGATGATGTATTCTTTGCCTCAGAGGACCTTTTACAATTTGTGGTGTGAGATTTGATTTCAGTTTAAGTGTTCCTTTTTTTGTAGGTGAATTTGGCAGAAACGGAAATAACTAAAATGGCATCTGACTATACAGAAAATGAATTAGAATTGTTCAGAAAAACAGTAAGTATGTCAGTTATCAGTTAGTAAATCGCATTATTTGTGAAGGTACCATCTTAAAATGAATGGAAATGGAAATGAATGGAGATGTGGTTCAGGAGCCAGTTGCCATCGTACCTGAATTTACCCCAAATTGAATGGGGGGGTGCGGATGAGAGTATATGCGAGTAATGATTCCCTGTTGAAAGTCAGTTAAATCAGCAATAGGGCAGTGCTCCTTGGAGTCAGTGGCCTGCCACACCTGCTTCCAGTTAAACAAACACTTTTCTTCAGGATTTTCCATTGTGATTGCTGAATTTTTCACTGGCTTCAGTAGTCTAGTAATCCACAGCAGATTTTAATGCTTGTAACATATGAATCGGGTTTCTTGATTTGAGTAGAAACATTTGTCTGTCATTACTGCTTAGCCAATTAATTCTGTGTTTAATAAACTATTCTGCTGCTTTTTGAGCAAGAAAACGTACACTTGAGAATTTTTTAAAGTTCCCAGTAGAACTATTGCGCTGAGATTCCAGGACATTTGATGTCTGATTTCTTACAAGCAACCATTAATGTGAGTTGTGATCATAGCTATGTATCTTGCATGTTTAGTGAATTGTTCTTATAGCGTCTTGAACTTTGAGGACTTAATTTCTCCAGCCACTAGACTTTTAAATATTTTTTTGCACACTCGTTAAAATAAAGTTTTCTGTATAAACTGGAGAGGTGTATTGACCATTCTGTGACAGCTGCAAAAGTCCAATCTACATGGGCAGTACCCAGAGATTTCCCTGCCCTCCCCCATGACTGGTGAAGCACCTAAACAGCCACGTCAGCACTGCAGAGATGGCATTGTTGTAGTACTACTGGCATAAAAACTCTGCATGCTGCTCTGTAATAATGAGCAGCAGGA